TATTATCTCTTTGCATGCTGATGGCTAAAATAGGCCGAGCAAAAAACAAGCATGAAAAAGTATGCATTAAGAGCAAGATAGTATAGCTTCTATTTCAGCAGCAGTTTTTCTTTGAATATAATTTAAGTCGCCTTATTTTCTATCTTGATCCTCTTTCCAGAAAGACTTCGAAGATCTTACTCCGTTCTGCGTTCTCTACCAGAATTTCCACAATACTTTACAGCACCAGACCAGCGATAACTTCCTAGACGTTTCGCCGGCGACGTAAATGATTCATTCTCAGCACAGCTACAACTCATGAAGTCTATCATTTGACTAAGTTTTTGATGAAATATTATGGCACTACTCAGCGATGTCCCGGTAAATTTGCCTATAACATATCCCCGTGACGTACTCTTCCTTTGGGCGACTTCAGAAGTACACTTTACTGGTTTCTTTAATCTCTACCTGAGTTAAAAATGCTGATTAGATTTGATTAATTCACTGAGCAAATCACTCAATGCTCCTTCGGGCTCTCTATAATCTGTTCCTTGCATCCCTGTTTCATTGATTTCACAAGGCCCCTGTCCCTGTATTCTTAATACCTAAAGCGTTTGAGAGCTTGTGAACGGAAAATCCATTGACTAAGGCACCAAAGCCCTGGCTCTCGCGATTGATGATATCGTCTTACTAAACACTGTTTCCCTTAGTCTATATTCGACATGCATGTTGGGCTGACCAGCCGTTTCTATCAAATACTACCTGCATTATTTGACTCGTGTACTGTGAACTGACTGTAAACTTGCCTCTTGTCTCCACTGCGTCACCTAAGTGGATAAAGGATGAAGATTTAATATGGTAGAGGATAATCTTATCCCTTTCTCCGTTTAGTGTTTAAGATGATTTTTTTGTGAATAATGGTTTCTGGCTGACGATGTCCGTCACATGACGGACAAAAGCTCAGCACTGAGTCATCGGGGTCGTAGGAGATAGAACTGAGGTTTGCTTGGCACATTTCAACAGACAAAAGACCAAGGCAACTCTCTTGTGATATCCGATGCAGCCAATCTATTAATCCCTCTTACCCGCCTTCTCAAAACGAAATGAAGGGTACGCCCATATTAATCTTACCCCTATTGTCTGGTGGTATGAAAACATAAATGATAGTTTCCTTGATTTTACAACATTTTTGCAGTCGTATCACTTTCCGGTTTACCATTGATGGCCTACTCCTTCGTCTTCTTGTTCAAACAATGAGCTAGGTTTTCGACAATTCTACCCATGTAAATAGGTTTTTTTAAAGGCTATTAGTAGCCTTCCAGCTCCCTCATTTCTTTGTATTTTCGCATTAACGGATCAGGCTATCGTCTTACACCTATGTTCGTGTCCTGTTAGAGAAATTTGTTCGGTTATTTATAATCTCTATAAATACATTTTCTGCAAAATCTTTGATATTTTTTATACGTATGCTGATTTGCCTTCAAATTTTGCCAATATACTTGTGGCCAAAGGTTATACAATAAGCTACCTATCAATCCAGTGTGTCCGCTTTTTGTTGCGGATGTAAGCGTATGAAAGATTTTGACATTTCGTTTGTGATAATATTGATATTCTTTTTTGCTAATACCTGTCTAAGTTTCCAAGTCAGTTCGCAGAAGAATAGACATATATACTTTTGCCACCTCTCTCATTCATAATTTTCTTTTATAATCCCAAACTTGACAATTGATATTTACGACTCAAATTTATTTTGATGATTTATATGGAGTACCTATTATCGAGAAACATCCAAATAAATGTGTTCAATTTGTTTTTGCAGAACTCTATGTCCGTTTGTCCTAGGTTTCTGATAGCTATACACATTATTACTATAATCATTAGCCTGTGGTTTTGATAGAAGTTTAAATTTAGAATTATTGCTGAACAGCATCCTGAATGTCCCGTTAGAGTTAATTGAAATGAATTCGTGAATCGGTTTCATCGAAAAAAGGGTTGTCTTGTAGTGAAGACTGTGGATTGTTCGAAAAATTCTCAGGCTCCTCGTCCTACGACCTAAAGAAACTTAAAAAATTTTCTGAAATCTTCTCTTTCGTGCTAACGACTATCAGTCTCTTTATGTAAATTCGGTGATTCATAGCTTGAGTGACCTTGCTTATTTCATTATTAGAGAATGTATCACCCACCTGTAGATTTATCCCTCCATATTTATTCATTAAAACATGTATTGTAACGCTACACTACTCTTTATGGTTGGGTACATTCTTAGTATTCTACAAGTGTTTGTACCCCTTTGCATGCTTTCCATTAATTTCGTTTCGTTATCTGCCTATTATCAGTGTCGTCCCTTTCCTATCAACCTGAAATACCATTTTTCCATTCCAATGTAGTGATTTGCATATCTTCACTAATCTGCTCCTCGTTGTTGGTTTTTTATAGGTTAAAATTCACAAAATTACCAATAAAATATAGTTTTAACCCGCTTTTTTAATCGAAATGAAAGGTACGCCAAAATAAAAATTCAAGGGATTCTTTTCATCTCAATTCCCTTATCCGTCCTTTCCAGGAGCTTGCCAAAGATATTTATGACTTCTAAAAGAATGTTCGCTAAAACATATTATTTATTTTAAAGGGAGGAATTTATTCCTGTATCAGGGATCTTAAAAATCGGAAGGAGTAAGAATCCTGGCTAGATTATGACATAAACTGATGGTAAGTAGACTTCGAAATAGACTACCTATAAGTCCTATTAAGCTAAAACTCCTTCGTCACAATCATGCGAAAAATTAAAAGAATTGTAACGGAATTCGACAGAACAGTAATGAATAAAAAGATGCTCATTAATGCAAGATAATTGGGCCAATAACATTGCCAGAAATACGCATTTCATTAATTCAATAAAAATGATAAATGAATTTTGCTAAAAATTGGAGTTTGCAACTTAATTAATGTGCACTATCGAATGCTATGCTTTGTCGACAGACCGATTAGTTAACTTATATTAACTTAGAGCAGATTATGAAAGTACAAGTAGGTATTGAATAAGAACTGTATTCACTGTAGATCACATAAAATGACGAGTGACTAATAGTTTAATTTCTATAGAATGCTATGAGCAAGCCTCATGATGCTAGCAAATTTCATTTGCTTTCCAACAAGACAGATCAAAGTGAAACTATCTTAAAAAAAGGGTTCATTAATTATTAGCCAATTAAAATAAGGAAAGAAAAAAGCTAATTAATTAAATTCAAGTCGGACAACAAAAGTGTAACATACGTACAGGAAGGTTTGATTCGACTGTTTGCAAAACGAGGACTAAATGGGTGAGGAAGCGGAGCAAATGCCATGAGAGAGGATCTCCACTGGGAGACAGGTTCATTTGTACATCATTCAAATTAGTCTCAAGGCAAGGCAAGGTTCGGCCATTTTCAGAAGTAGGTAAGGCCCATTCTAGAATACGAGGTAAGACGGCCGCAACAGCAGTGAGGAAGGCTAGAGACAAAATTATATGGATCATGGCACAAATAATAAGAATGTTTAATTGAATTCTGAATATAATTAAAAAGTAAAACTACTTGAATAATCGCGGAGAACAAGGGCCTGTTGGGCAGCAGAGAAAACACAGAATATGATAGAGATTTTAGTCTGCAATTGCCGTGTTGGCCCGTAGGCTACCGATGCCCGATAGTTTGCATCTGATCTAGTCAAGCCTCCCCCCGTTGCTAGAAATTCCGTCATCGCCGACCTGGGCAGTGGTAGAACAAGACCTGATTCCATCTCAGCCATAGTCAAAGTGCCGTCACCAGCTCCACCTGGAGAAGCAACTGTAGTGGCAACGAAGCTGCTACCAGTGGATGCATGACCAGTTAATTGGCTGGAGAGTGAAACTGAAGAGTTATTACCCCAAGTTAGCCGACTGCTCTGGAGCTGGCGGTTGAATTTTGTGGGCGTCTGAGCGGAAAGATTAGATTGGCCGAATTGCAATAGACATTGGCAGGGCGACCACCCAACAGCAGTCTCGATCCGAGTATACATTTCATTAAGAGACCAATGCCCAGGTCTCAAAGCAGACTCAGGAAGGGTGAGCCCGCCGTCCAAGGGCCAGGGGGAGAATGGATTTCCAGTAACAGCCTAATTAATAGAGTCGATATAGGTATTCGCATATGCACAAATACAAATTGAATACAAAGCTATTTAAAAATACAAGAAATATTCATTTATTTAAATTTATATGAAAGCTTTAGAGAGACCAGACTTAGTATACGTGCCATAGACAAAAGATAATAATATAAGATGTATTCCTCCTATTTCGTTCAAAGTGATGAAGGACATGTAGTTGAATTTTAATATAACGATATGAGTAGAGCTGACGCTTTCATTGAATTTCACATAGCCTTGCTTTCCCAAAAGGTACTCTCATCCAGAGCGGATTGCAGTTTCAAACTTGCCTAGGTCTTATAAAATCCCCCAGCCGGAGTTGAAACATGACAGTGGAGTGTGTAATCTCGACACGCTAACCAATAACGCCACATTTCCATAGTTACCCTTGGGTCACAGAACGGAGGTGAATTACAAGGAAAGCCACACATTTTCCCATTCCATATTCTTTGGTTAAATTATCGATGAAGCAAAATCATATTTTAATCGAAGGAATGAAGACCAAGATGGTGTGGCCGCAGTCTCCCTTCATTGGATAGAGGATGTTTGACCCTGATTTCGCAACTTGGTCATATTGGTAGAAAGACATAGATGAACGCACTTAGTCCGGAGTTCAATGTCTGCATGATAATTTCCAAAGTCGAACGTGGACGTGGTACATTCCCAAACGTTTCACCGCCATCGTCAGTGAGTATCGCCATTTCTAACACCATACAACTCGTCAAAAGAGACAATTGAAGTCGATCCTTTGACCAAACGTGTGCCAAACAATTGTGTTATCTCCCTTCTGCCCTAAGTTATTTGCGTTTGCTGTATCATCCTATAATT